AAACTCACAGACAAGTTCGTCTCCCTTAGTTGTTCCTAAGCCCTCTGCACCTGCCTTCCTCAGGCAATGGTCTTAAAATAGAGCCACACTCAAGTGAAAAGCAGCCTCCAAGCTCCGGGCCTGCCTACCTAAACCTCCGGCCTTAATAAACAGCCACCCATAAGTGAAAAGTACCCTCTAAGTCATCAGCCCAACAACCTCAGGCCCCTACCTTAATAAAGAGCCACCCCCAAGCAAAAAGGAGCCTCCAAGCCCTGAGCCTGCCTACCTTAGGCCACAGCCTTAATAAACAGCTGCCCCCAAGTGAAAAACAGCCCCCATCCCCAGGCCTGACTACCTCAGGCCCTGGCCTTACTATAGAGCCACATCCAAGTGAAAAGCACCCTCTAAGCCCTCAGCCTGCATACCTCAGCCCCTGGCCTTAATAAACAGCTGCCTCCAAGAGAAAAGCAGTCCCCAGCCCTGGGCCCACCTACCTCAGGCCCTAGGCTTAATATAGAGCTATACCCAAGCGAAAAGCAGCCTCCAAACCTGGGCCTGCCTACCTCAGGCCCCGGCCTTAATATAGAGCCAGGACAAGTAGAAAGGGAAATTCACCAGCAGCAGCCCTGGAGATGCCCATCATGCCCTGTTCCTACTAAGGAAATGTAACCGCTCGAATTCCATGTGGTGTAAATGGCTGTTTGTACCCTCCTTCACTTTCTTCCCTCCTTCCACCCTGCTGCCCTCAGCTAACTGCTGCAGGGTTGGTTGACTCCTCATCCAAGGGCAGGTAATCCATGACCTAGCTACCAGGCAACCTACAACTGACAACACTACTTGAAAACATGACCTGGACTCATCAGATTTCTCTCCCGGAAATTTGGAGTTGGAAAACTAGGGACCTAGTGGCTCAAAATTAGAATAAAGTGAAGGGTCACAAAATGGAAAGAGGCCACAGAGACACTGGGGAATGGTCAAGATGGCCTGGATAAGCTGATTTCATGAGGAGCTAATTATGTATAAACAGAGGGACCATGTTGGCAGAGAGAGACAGAGCCACAGATGGACACGGAAGCACCCCTAGAGACCATGTGGCCCCTCAGACGGAGAAAGAGAGCTGCCACCGTGGCCACAGACCTCCCAGGTCCAGATCCCATAAGCACTATAGTGCAAGTCTTTTCTTGGGATATTCATGAGATATTTATAATAAACTCTCTTTTTTTCATGACCTAATGTGAATGGATTATTGCTCCTTGTAATCAGAATCCTACCTAAAGGTGCTATGATATCAGAGAACGCCGGTTACTCAGTTCTGAATCTCCTGAAGAAAATACCCTGGTGTTTTGCACATATTAAGAGATCCATAAAAGTTTTTCAACAAACGAATAAAACAAAGGTAAACCTGCCTGCTTCCTGTCTAGAGGCAGAACTCTACTGGTTGTGAACACAAGTAGCTATGCTTGACTGGAACAGAGAGGAACAGGAGTAACATTCAATCTCTTATAGCTGTATTTGTATCCTGAGTGCCTGGATACTGGACAGGTTAAACCTGTACTTTGTCCTCCAGAATTGTGGGCACTGGGGAGCCTAGGTCTGAAATTCCTACTCCTATGACTTCATTAAAGAGCTCTGGTGGCACCATGGTTAAGGCATTTGGCTGCTAACCAGAAGGTCAGCAGTTCAAACCCACCAGCTACTCTGCAGAAGGAACAGAAGGTAATCTACTTCTGTAAAGATTTATAGCCTTGGAAACCCTATGGCTCACTATGGAGCCAGAATTGACTCCATGGTAGTGGGCTTGGTTTTTAGTTTATGACCAACATTTCTGCTTGTGCATATAATTTAATCTGCCTACTTGTTTAGATGTCATAGCGTTGTGTTGTTGTTAGATGCTGTAAAGTCAGTTTTGACTCATAGCGACCTTATGTACAAAACATTTCCTGGCCCTGTGCCCCTTCACAATCTTTGCTCTGTTTGAACCCATTGTGCAGACACTATGTTAATCCATCTCACTGAAAGGTCTTCCTCTTTTTCACTCACTTTCTACTTTACCAAGCATGATGTCCTTCTCCACCTGATAACACGTCCAAAGTACATGAGATGAAGTCTTGCCATCCTCACTTCTAAGGAGAATTCTGGCTGTACTTCTTCCAAGAAAGATTTGTTTGTTTCTCTGGCAGTCCATGGGATATTTAATATTCTTTGCCAAAACCACAATTCAAAGGTTATCAATTCTTTTTTGGGCCTCCTTATTCACTGTCCAAGGAGCTCTGATGGCATAGTGCCTAAGGCATTTCACTGCTAACCAGAAGGTTGGCAGTTCAAACCCACCAGCCACTCCACAGAAGGAAGACTGGGCAATCTACTTCCATAAAGATTTACCACCTTGGAACCCAAAGGGGATCGCTATGAGTTGGAATCAACACAATGGTAGTGAGTCTGATTTTGGTTTTGGTAATTCACTGTCCAGCTTTTGCATGCATATGAGGTGAGTGAAAATGTCATGGTTTGGGTCAGGTGTACCTTAGTCTTCAAGGTTACCTTTGCTTTTCAACACTTCAAAGAGGTTCTTTGCAGCAGATTTGCCCAATGCAATACACTGTTAGATTTCTTGACTGCTGCTTCCATGGATGTTGTGATAGTTGGAGCTGTGTGTCAACTTGGCTGGACCACAATTCTGTGTGGTTCAAGCAGTTGTGATCTGGGTTATTCCCATGATGGGATCAGAAGTATGTTTTGAGCAGCCAATCCATTGAAAGGGAGTTTCCCTAGGGGTATGGCCTGCCTCCAATATATTTATGGACATCCTGGGAAAAGAGATACTCTTCTGTGGCGCGGATCCTGTTGTGTTGCCTACACTGTCCATGAGCGAACAGTCCACCATTCGGCCTGGAGATCTTGGACTCGTCATTTGTTGGAGTAAACAGCCAGTATACTGCCTGCCAACCTTGAGCTCCTCAGCCTCTGCAGCTGTGTGAGTTGGGAAAAGTCTCCAGCTTGACATTTGATCCAAGAACTTGGGACTTGTCAGCTTCTATAAGCGTGTGAGCCATTTTCCTAAGATAAATTTCTCTTTCTCTATATGTATATATAAGCTTTACTGGTTTTGCTTCTCTAGAGAACCCAGCGTAACACAGGTGTTGATTGTGGATCCAAGTAAAATGAAATCTTTGACAACTTCAATCTTTTTTCCATTTATCATGTTGTAACTTATTGGTCCACTTGTCAGGACTTTTGTTATCTTTATGTTGAGGTACAATACATACTGAAGGCTGTAGTCTGATCTTCATCAGTAAGTGTTTCGTGTTCTCTATCACTTTCAGCAAGCTAGGTTGTGCAAGTTGTTAATGAGGCTTCCTCCAATCCTGATTCTGTGTTCTTCATAGAGTCCAGCTTCTGGGATTATTTGCTCAGAATGCAGAGTGAAAAAGTACGGTGAAAGGATACCACCCTGATGTACACCTCTCCTGATTTTAAACTATGCAATATTCCCTTGTTCTGTTCAAACACTGCCTCTTGGTCTATTAGACAGAGGCTAAATCTGTAATTTGTCCTCTAGAATTGTTGGAGCTTGGATGGTTTCACCCCTGCAGTCCCTGTTCGAAACTCCTACTTTCTATGACCTCATCAGTATGCAAAAACATTTCTCCTTGTGCATGTAATTTACACTGCCTACTTGCTTAGATGTTTTAGAGTAAATTAAAATTTCACGTCTGTACATCTTGCTTTCCACATGGCCTAATGGTATGATAAAAATAATACTCAAAATCCTAAAAATACTTTGTCTTTTTCTCTGTCTCCTTACAAATTCCCAGCCTGTCTTTGTTTGGAGGAGCACTTCCTAGGTTCACTGGGACCTTGCTGCCCAATTCAGGAATCTCTTCCAAAGCAAATAAATCCTTTAAATTTAATCTTATCAATTTTCTTTCTCAAACAAGAGACAAATCAGGGGTAAAATAACTATTTTATCAACAAGCTCTATCCCATAGCCTTTCTTAAAAGGGAGAGACAGATGACTAGGGTTTGACTGTAATGACTCAATTTTTCAAATAAGATATGGATATATGTTTTCTGGCCAATAATTTGGAGAAGGTCAACCAAGTTGGGGTATGTAGTTAACTCTCCCATGGCAGAAAGCCCAAGGTTTGGGGAGAGCCACTCTGGTATAAGAATTCATACACTCTTCTTTTTGAGGTAACCAGTTCTGTGCATCTGGATACCCTTCATGCTAACTAAGCATTTCAAGCTGGGGCTAATGCTATGTGTTGTTATTGTTTAAGATTATTATACTGTACTTTTTTTGAGGAATAATTGGCATGTAATAAACTGCACCTATTTAAAATGACAATTTGATGAGTTTTGACACGTATATATACATGAAACCATCATCACAATTAAGACAACAAACATTTCCTTTACCTCCAAGTTTTGTTAGGCCTCTTTGTAAATCTATACCTTCCTCCACCTCCATACCCAGACAACTATAGATCCGTTTTCTGTCACTATAGATAAATTTACATTTTCTAGAATTTTATACAATTAGAATTGCAAATGCTGTTTAAAATGTTACAATCCCCTTCCCTAACTCATTGGCTGCTTTTCGTCACAACATCACTACACAGGAGTGGTGTTGCTTTGAGGCAGTCTCCCTCTGAGGGTTGGCGTCTCTTCTCCTGCATGAGACTCAGGAAGGCTTACTTGATTCTCTTCCTGTGATTTTTGGTTTGTGATCCTTCCAGTTTCTCTTCAAGAAGGATAATGGATGACATAGCACTGTCCTCTCAGGGGCAGTTCTCCAGTTAGGGCCCCAACCACACTTATTATGCTCCCTGCCAGCCAGTGAAGGCAAGGGGGCGTTCAGAACCTTTCCTATCTATATTTCCAGTCTAGACTGGCAGATTCTGTCTACCCCACTTACATGAGTGTGTGTGTGTGTGTGTGTGTGTATGTGTGTATAAGAGTGACTGTGTATGTTTGGGGGATGGATACGTTTTTGCTATATTAAGTTGCAAATACATGTCTTAGCATGTTTACTTTGGAAAATCACCTGTTCAATGCCTTTTTAAAAATGCCATTTTTACTTTATAAAATAGAATCAATACAAAATGGTATTTATTCCAAAATTTCATTATTTCTGATTTATCAGTTGTTTTATAACATGAAAATGTTCCATTAAAAAAAGTTACTTCAGTCTAATCAAGAAAATTTCAAACTAGTCCATATCTGAAATGTGTGTTAGTTCATCTTTCATATCTTTAATCTCAGTTCGGACTCTTGTTAAATTAGATATTTTCTCACTTAGGAAAGCAATTTCTTTCTCTCTTTGTTGTAAGTCAGTAACCAGTCTCCCAATACGTAGTGTTAAATCATTCACCAACGGTTCCAAACGGGAAAAGTCCTTTTTTAGGTTATACACTTTCGGTTTTAGATCATTTGCAAAAGTCACTGCCTTCAGAACTTTAGCTCTGTCACTTTCTAAGCTTAAAAATCTCTCTACGTGCTTACTGAAATCACTATTTAGTTCAGACAATGTCTCCTTAACAGAGTTAATTCTATGTGAATTTTCAGATGCCGTCTTTCGGAGCACTGCTGTTCGGTCAATGCTACTGGAAAGAAGATCACCTATGTTTTTTACTGTATTTTTTTCCACTTTTTCTATTTTATTTTCTAGTTCTTGCACAGAATCTGTCAATGATGTTACATCAGTTACTAAACCTGAAATACGTCGTATATCTGTTTTTACAGCTGTAATCTTGAGAGAAACATCTTTTGCCATGGAAGTTGTACTTTGCTCTACTTTTGTAATTTCTTGAGAAAGAGTTGTCAAACTGTTGTTCAATATATCCTGTTTTTCAGTTAACCTGGTGGACCAAATTTTCACCTCATATATTTCCTCCTGGAGATGCTTTAGATGAACAATTATTTGAAAAGATTTCAGTTGTTCCATGAGAGCTTCAAACTTCTGACACTGTAAGAAAAATAGAATACCACAACGATTACATTAAAAGTTTATCATGTAAAATTCAACTTAAATATTGTTATGTGTCATTTTTAACTAACTTCACTACTTTTCTGGAAAGCCTATGAAAAAGGACACCTTCAAAATAAGAAGCACTGCAAAAATTTCAGTATATTACCAATAAGAAAGAAAACATTAAGGAAATTTTATAAAATGTTTAATAAAAAACTACATTTTTTCAGCTATTATTTCTGTACCGTCAGTTTTCTGTACAGTGGCAAAATGAGCTAAATGTAAGACAGTGATGTATTTTTATAGCTGCTGAAGAAGGGAGGACGAAGTCTCCAGATGAGCTTTGATAGATCTGGGGCGTGAAAAAAGGAAACGTAACTTCCGAAACACAAGCTCATTTGTAGTTATCACAAAGTCCTAGAATGAAGGGACCAATGTCTATTTATTCCTTTTATGAATCATTTTCTTGGGTATTTAACTATCTGCAAAACTTTGGAAAATTTAATTCAACTAGTTCTATGTTCCTAGTATGTTGTTAGGCATGTCAATCATGAGAGACATAAAGTTGAGTATAACTTGGGTTGTTGCCCCCAATACAGTTTAATAGAAAAGACAAATGTATTCTAAACATTATTTCCAAGGCTCTAAAACTCTGACTACAAATACAAGTGGTTCTCAGCTCTCATATGTTTCAATGCCATCTCCTTCTCCATCATACATTGTACACATAGTCCCTGACTAAGGCCATATTCAAGTATAATAAATCACTTTTACAACCATAAATCACACTTACAACCATCTGATTTTTCTTTTTGCACATCTATCTTATCATTAATTACATGTATGTATTAGAATATATCTGTAAGTTTATATGTAATGTTTCAAATCCCCAAAGACAAATAATGATTGGATTTATAAAGATATTGATAATAAAAGGCAACAATCATGAAAATTAAAAAACAAAAAGTGGGACTTATGTCAGAACCAACTTGATGGAGTCGTTAGATCAGAACTCATGGTAAGTTAAGGACTAACTGTATAGGGATGTCTCTAACCTGCCTTCTTGGTTTAACTTGGACACATCAATTGATGAACATTCTGAGCCATCCTACTGACTGCCAGCATTTCAAGTTGTTATTGGTGGTGGTGGTAGTATGTGTCTGCAGCAGTGTTAGGGAAATTGAATATTTTATTGTACATTGAATAGTTGATATTTCATTACATTTTGCCATCACTTAGTAAAATTGAGAGAAAGGAAAAATTAAAATGCTGCTTCTAGAAATAAGATGCATCACACCCTATCAAACCTGTTGTTGTCAAGTTGATTGTGGTTCATAGTGATGCTATATGACAGTGTACAACTGCCCCATAGGGTTTTCAAGGCTGTAAATCTTTATGGAAGCAGACTGACATATCTTTCTCCCATTGAATGGCTAGGGTGGGTTTAAACTGCCAACATTTGACTAGCAGCTGAATGCATAACTACTGCATCATCAGGGCTGTTCCAGGAAGACGGATAGGTCTTCTAAACTTAAAAACAAAGTTGGAAATTAAAATAAAGAATTGTTAGGTGAGATTATTTAACTTTAATCAGAAGATTAATTGAAGTCTGTCGATTGTGTGCTCCACTATGAAGAAAAATAAAGAACAAATGTATAATATGATATTATGGACAAGAATGTGTCCCCCAAAATACGTGTGAACTTGGCTGGGTAATGATTCTCAGTGGTTTCCCTGTTACTATAATGATCTCCCATGATGTGATCTGATATGATAAGCCAAAAGGATTATGGTGGGATGCACCACTTTAATCCTGTCATAGCCCTAATAGGATGTAAAGGAGTTTATTTGGTGTGTGGCCTGCAACACCTTTAATCTTACAAGAGATAAAAGGAGAGAGAAGTGAGCAAAGAGGGAGGGACCTACTATCACCAAGAAAGAAGAGCCGGGAGTGGAGGGGTCCTTTGGATGAAGGGTCCCTATGCTGGGCACCTCCCAGGCCTAGGAGACACATGGAGAGAAAGGTTTCCCCTAAAACCAGTACTCTGAACTCAGACTTCTAGCTCCCTAAATTCAGAGAATAAATTTCTGTTTGTTGAAGCCATCCACTTGTATTTCTGTCATAACAGTACCAGTTAACTAAGACAACTGGAAATACATTGTCAAAGATTATGCCCAAAGAGTGGTATACTCTGTGATTACTCTGTAAAAGAGAATCCCATTCATAATGTGTAAATCAATCATTTGACTTTTGTACATTTAACTTTCATTTTTTTTTTTTTT